GAAAAAAAACGAAGAATTTAAAATATTAGAACGAAATGACAAGAGAAAAATGATGACATATGCATCGTTTCAAAGCTGAAAATCCGATCAATGGTGTATCTGAGGAGTTCTTTCAATAAGGTGTTTTCTTTACTCTGAGAAAACTGTCCCATAGTGCTTTCATAAGGTGTATTACAGTAATTTTTTGAAAGAAGGCAGCATCAATGGCCCTGACCTATGGTCCTTTCACCGAAGTTGTCTCCCTGTAAAACTGACTATTGAAATATTCAAATTAAAGCCCAATCCCTAACTCACCTTTTAGCACGAGATAAACGATTATCATAATGTGTGATGGAAGGCTGGAGATTTGTACGCTGTAATTGACATGAGTCTGCAAAATCACCCTCTTAGCTAAAATGCCCACGTTTGACGATATAGCGGAAATTATATGCCGTCGATACATTAGTTTTAAAGCACAAGGATTGACGGTATGATGTATACAACTAGCATTTTAATGCTTCTAAATCTCCGTCTTCTTTGAATCAAATGGGCGCATATGCAGATGATTAGAGCTTGAAGCAAACAGGTCATATTGTAGGTAATACGTCTCTTTTAAGTTGCAATGGTTATGAGGAAGACACCGGTACCTTGGAAAACGGAGGTTGTAGAACTCGTGTTCAAAATGGGAAATTACTGGGAGTATTCCACTACACTGGCGTTACCTTACTGAACCTCCTTTAAAAAAAATTCGCACGAAGTTGTTAGAAACGATGTGCTGCGGAATTGCCGATTCTGAGATCCTCTAAGATCAATTCCTCCTTCGCTCAGGCTGAACCAAGGCTGGCCAGATCTTTCACCTGTGTCAGATTGTTGAGAAGTCGTACGAGTTCACCGGTTTGCATGTGTTTCGCGCAGTGAGCTATCGGCACGCCGCTAGAAGTATAGGATTCATGGTCAGTTGATACGAGCCATCCAGTACCTGTATGCTGATGGCAGGTGCTGCGTCAGTTGCCCGATATTAAGTGATGACCTTTCAGTGCTTTACTGGCTTCAGCCCAAAGTGCATTCCGTTCGTCTCCTTTGTTTGTACTGTATCTGAAAGAACGGTCATACACAACCAGGGGGACCAGTGTGTCAGAGTAGAAAATGCCAAAACGAGAAGGTTGCCGTTTGCAGACTACTCTGTTTTGTTTACTTCTTCTGTAACTGATTTTTGGCAGTCGTTGCAAAGGTCGGCAGCCAAGTGCAATGTAGCCACCATGCATGTGATCGTGTCTAAATGGAAACTCATGGTACTTTCTCGGTGTCCTGCCATCTGCACTGCTTTGATAGTCAGGACAGCAGTGAAACGGTTTGCAGAAGTTTACCTACCATTGGGCCAGGTCTGCTGGCAATGGAAAATCGGAGGAAGAGATTAACATGTGAATCTTGACAGCCATCGACGTTCTGCGTGAATTAGCTTGAACTCTGTTGTCACTAAGGTAGAGATTAATCTTGAGACATGCCTGTCTGTGTTGAAGTTAATTATCATCCCCACGCTGACCTCATATCATGAGTCATGATTCGTGACAGAAGAATTATGATCTCGGCTACAAGATACTGAAATTGGCTTTTTGAAACGAATCGCTGGATTCCTGATTTCAGATGTTCAACACAGCTTTGGTGTACAGACGTTGCTTCTTCAGATCGAAAAGTCGCATCTTAAATGTTCTTGACACCCCTTGCGAATGCTTGACGAGAGATTTTCAGGCAAGGCCAAGAACCACCAGGGGCAAGTAGCTGAAGGATCGTATCATTGCCTCCAGATTCTGGTTATCTTCTTCAGAAGTTCAAACACTGGCACAAGATTGGGAACGTTGCAGGAACTGTCCTTCCCATCCAAAGGATAAGCGGAAATTGAAAATGACTGACTGAGGTAACCATAAAGCTGATTTTCAACCGTCTCATGCCGTTTCTTTATTAAACAATAATTTCAGAATTCATGACAGGCGTCAACGGCAAACCTTGCGGTATGAATGCATATGCATACATGCCACTGATGACTTCCCTTTGACTCTGGTCCAAATTTCAATCATTCCAAACACCCATGTAGCGGATGCGCGGCTGCTTCCGCCGGCAGAAAATCTCTTGAAGAAAAAAAACAATGGAAACACATGCGTTGTAGATTTTCGATTCATGGTTCAAGGTAATAGTTGACAAGGAAAATTTAAATACCCTTATTTACCGCAAATCTACCTCATCATCAGGGTAATGAGAAACGAAAACTATTTGCAATAATTCGAAAGGCAACGAATCGATTATTCAGTCTGTGCATATTGCCGCATTGGATAGCCTACTGAATTAAGTAGTAAATTCGTGAAAATGGAATGACTGAGAATCTTACATGTTCGAGGAACAAACTTTCATCGATTTATGGAATTTTTCGGATGGTAAAATTAAGCGGGCCAATTTCAAGCTTTGAACTCAACGCATGGCTCAAATTTAAGTAAGGCACCATTGATATATTGTATCATGACAGAAATCAACACAAAAGAAACACAGCACACATGCACCACTTTTACATATGCGAGATTTGAGGTACGTCTGGCTGACGACATGGAAATACAGATCAGCGCTCCACTAACAACTTAATGAAAATAAGGGCGAATCATAAATGGACCATCATAAAACTCCAAGGAAGACCGACATTATAACGGTTACAGGTTATCCGTTCCTTCGCGTTTTTTTGCAAGTGTGCAAGTACCCTACACTTTAAGGACGATAACTCATCCTCATTTTTGACAAGCAAGCTTCCATGGATCATTTTCCCGTTCACAGCTAGTACCGACTCTTTCAGAGACCTTTACGGGGGCATCTCTACAGTAGGAAAGAACAAAGGTTATTACACTTCGCTTTAGCACGCCATTCTGATCTTGGTTATTACAAGTGACGCTCAGCATGATGTGGGCAACAGGAAGTAGCGCTAAGCAAGAAGTAATTTCCTCTGTGCAAGATTACAGCAACAGCAACCCCCAGAATATTTGGGGAAGGAACTTACGACCAAGTACTTAAGTTCTGACGGGCA